GTAGGCAGACCTAAATCTTTGGGTTTTGCATCGATTATCACCAGTACTGAATTGGGGCAATAGCGGCGTATCAACTCGTTTATGGCAATGTCATTTTGATGTAGTTTAGGACCAGTGTGATACCAACCAACAACACGCTCGCGTGCATTCACTTTTTTGAACATGCCGTACATGTTCTCCAAATAATCATGATCCAAAAACCATACTGACTTATCTTTGTCATCCTCATCGAAGGGTACTAGGAAAATGTTAAAGAAATTTGGAGGGTATTTACAAATAAAAACATATTTATAGGCATTAACTTACCAGCAAAACTGTTGGACACATCAAGTATTCCTTTAGAACGCCAACAACCCAATAATACACCGACCACTCGCCGCTGGTTGCCAATCTTTCCCATGCGGTTGAAATGGTCCACCACAGAGAGTAGCACCAGTGGGTGCACAATCACCTTGTTTACATTTACCTCCAAGGATGGCATATTTTTCTTATTTATTATTAATTATCTATAATATAATGGCCAATCTTGAAACCAAATCAGCTCGATGACTTTTGGAAAACTTTTGCTTATGCCGATCAAGAAGAAGAGCGATGACAGCGAAATAATTTTCGTCAAGTTATCAGCACTGCAACCTGTCGGTAAGGCAGCACAGCTGTTAAATAAGTATTTAACGTAAGCATGCATAATAGCTCAGTTACGCATACTTAGCGCTGCATAAGGAATGGGTTAAATGGGCTTTTAGCTCAGTTATGCATACACAGTTTTGCCACATAATGCATATGCTTAACTAAGCTATTTGCGTTTAAGCGGTTACCCAACGCATAGCACTTCACATGATGAATTCTGTGGGTTTCGATTTTTACGTGAAAATGGTATAGCAGTGCAAATGTATGCATAACTGGGCTATAACAAATTTGAGGTATGTACGAATATTCTGAACAGAAAATCCAACAGACTTTTATGTGTGAAGTGCTATGCGTTGAGTAACCGCTTACACGCAAAGCTAATTTAACAGATTCCTTATGTGATAAGTCTTAAACAACGCCAAGTATGCATTATATTATATTATTTATGCTATTATATTCTCTTAATAGTGATCCTACTTACAGGTTTTATATCTATGGGATCGACTTAAAGGTGCGCTTTTTCTACGCGTTTTGCTGTTAAAATCCGAAATCGAAAGCCTATTTTCCCGTGTAAATAGCCAAAAAGTCCTTTTTGCAGATTTGCAGAAATCCTTTTCGGAAATTAAAGCTGCAACTGAAATTATGCAAATCCCTTTCGAGAAATAATTTCAATTTGCTCGTGCGGCACTAGCAATTTTCTTTTTTGCTGCAAGTGCTATCAAACCAATCGAGTGTTGCCGTGTGAGCCGTTTTTTGGCGAATTTGTATACAATTATAAAAATGTTGAATAAAATACGAAAAATATGTGTAATTAATTTATTCTACTGATATAGAGTATTTAAGTATTAATGCATTATACATTTTTTGACTGTTTCGTGCACATTTTAGCGTGCTTTTTGACTGTTTCGTGCACATTTTAGCGTGCTTAGCAAATTTTTCAGGTCGATAATTTTGTTATAAGCATAAAAATGTCTGTTAACGTAGTTGAAAGTGGGCTTGGCTGCATTCACCATGTAAACAGACGAAGAATAGTATCGGAAAGTTTGATTTTCAGAAATAAAAACTGTTTTCGAATGCCACTTTAGATGCAAGGTGTTACTGCTCCTGCAATCTCTTTTGGAAATTCTTGAGTTTGACAGACTTTTGAAAAGGATTTGCACTTGCCACGTCTAACAGTTACTTTATTGATGTGGTTAAAGTAGCTGTTAGAAGTGGCAAGTGCACATCTTTTTCAAAAATGTGTCAAACTCAAGAATTTAAAAAATTGTTTGCAGGAGCTGTTACACTTTGCATCGAACCTTGTATTATTGAATCATGAGATCACGCAAGAACGCGACGATGTATTTATAACTGGTTTTGAGAAAAAAGTTTGCGAAAGCGGGTTCCTCAGCTGTGTATTTGTGTACATCTCAAGCACCACTATTTTACACTTTTCTTTAACTAAAGAAGAGTCAATTCAACATGACAACATTTTAAAGAGTTTTTAATTATGTATTTAATGTGGCTGACAATAATTCTGGCTAATTTTGGGTTTCTTTGTTTTCTTTGCTTGTTTACTTTTCTTTTGTTTTCCTGCGAAATAAGATGGCGTAGAACCCGTTCAAAAATCGACTTTTTTCAGTCTCTTGTTCTTGCGTGATCTTGTATCGTTCGTTAATGGGATTGACAGCTCTTGCTGCAAAAATGGAAATTGCTAATACAGAACGATCAAGTTGAAATTATTTCTTGAAAGCGATTTGCATAATTACCGTTGCAGTTACACCTTGCAATATTTTTTTCGGAAAGTGATTTCTGCAAATCTGCAAAAGGGACTTTCTGGCTGCTTACACGGGAAAGTAGACTTTCGATTTCGCATTTTGACATAAAATGCGTAGAAAACGCGCTTGCATTGCCACGTTTAACCGCACCTTAACTCTGTTATGTTTATTTTTTAGTCGTTAGATGTCGCTTTGTTTTATGTTTTCCTGACACTTTTGACGTTTCATAACAAAATTTCTTAAGTTTTTATGCGAGTTGGAAACACTTTTTTCACTTCGCTTTTGTGTCTGCTTCTACTTTCTTCTCCACTTCGTAAGTTGGATTAATATCGGTCGGGTTATATTTGGATAGATTTGTGGATTTATTCCCAAAAATCAACGGTTTGCCCAATAATAGCTTTATCGATTGTTTATATTTTGATTTGATTTGCTCGAATGTAGTGTATTAACTATAGTAGATTGTAAGAGATTCTTACGTGCTCTGCAGATTGCTTACGCTTCAGGCAAGGCCCTATAACGCCATAGTTTCGTGTGAAAAGACTATCAAATTTATCTTCTAGACTCACGTACGTGACTTTACTCAATATTTCAATATTTTAAGACTACAATTTGCAAACTTTATTGCTTTGCATGACCAATTTTAATCATATTTTTTGTCCTACCTTGAGCAGGGCTGCCAACCATTAAACTATTTTATGTTGCGTCGGAAAGGGAAATATGTAAATATGGGTGTGCGTTGGACCAGTGACCTAGGTGACCAGTGACAAGCTTGTATTAAACTATTATAAACTGACTTATATTTTTATTTGCAATTAGAAGAGTTTATTTTCAAAAAATAAATTGACAGCATCAAATTCCGGCGATATCGATTCGTCGAATGCTTTACGGAAAGTGTGAAAGTTGGCAGTCCTAAAGTAACCGCCATTTTATTTTAGTTATGTGTTCTTTTCGACGTTTGCAATGAATGTAAATATGGGTGACTAATAGCAGTAGTGATAAGCGGCGTACCTCATTGTAAAAGTATTTTATATTTTATAGAAAAAAAGTGAAAAGGCTGGTAATATTAATTAAATGAGCATTTGACGAACTATGAATGGAACTGCCGAGCGCTGTAACGCGAACGGCTAACGAACGGCAGCTGATGGCTGGTTGACTGGCTGCCTCTGCGTGTGCATGAATGAACCAGGAATGCAATGAATATCGACTGGTTTGTGTGGCTGGTTGGTTGTTGGGTGTGATTTTTCGTAATACTATTTCGAAACCTCGAAAACTTTATCGGTGCCAAATATGATTAAATGATAACTTCATTTTGTAGCACTCACGGGTATCATTATCACTAAGTACTTGAATAATCGTCGATGTCATAAAAACGCTCATAAAATTGATTTCCTCGCCGCAGTTTGACATTGTCCCGAAAACTAACATCCCGGCAAAACATTTCCAAAGCATGGTGTAGTCGGTGAAAAGGCAATTTAAATACGTTTTTATCTACCTACCTAGTTATACATAACTACGTGTTAATTAGAGAGCAAATTAATTCGACTTTAACATAATATTGCAGAAAATGTAATAAGTAAACAATGCGTTTTGATAATTGCAGCTTAAATGATGTAGACTGATGTAATATTTTAAATTTAGCGAGTTTCAGCATTCGCAAACAATTGAGCAAGCTAGTCATAAACCCGTATCATATGCTAATCACTGTGCCAGATGTGGCATTCCGCAATCTAAATATCTTTATAAACAAAATTTGCAATAGGGTTTGGCGAAATCTACTTTCACCAGCTTTTATTATGAGACCTAAAGCTACATAATTTATGCTTAAAACAACATTATAAGTTTGGAATATTAGGAGAAAATTTCAGGTATTGATTTTTTTAGTTTCACACTGCTGAGTAGTTTTATACGACCCATTTCAATTGTTCATCTTTTTTTTTAATCTTATTGCATGCGTATATTTTGATTCTATTGTATCTTTCTTTGGTTTTACAGTTCTAAGCGTACGTTTACAAAAGCATGAAGACCTAATTTTAAAGCCGCTAATTAAATTAGAGAAGAGAGGAAAATCGTAAAGAACATTGAACGGCGAAAAAGCAATACGGTGGTAGGGGAACACGTGCGTCACCACTAATACTGCTACGGCTACTGCTGCAGTTGCGGGAGAAGGGCGACCCCTTTGCTTGTTGAAATTGAGCATAAACTTGTGGAAATGTTTTTGGATTGATTTGAGAAGAGAGAAAAGAAATTCAACTGAGGAATTAGCTACTGAAAAGCAATTAAGCTGATACACGAAGGCGAATGAAACTATTATTTGTGCTTAAAGCAAAATGTAGTACCTTTGGATTGTAAAACTGCTGTGGATTTTTTTTTTTAACCTTGAAGTAACTTAACCTTACGACGGAAATAAATAGCTAACTTAAAAATCAGTTTATAAGAATAACAATGTCGTTTATAAATAATTTGAAAAAGGTGTTCCACCTTGGCGGTGGTGAGGCGAAGAAAAAACGCCTTTACAATAATATCAAGATGGACACAGACCCTGCGGAATTTTGGGAAATGGTGGGTGAGCTGGGTGATGGCGCTTTTGGCAAAGTATATAAAGCGCAACATAAGGAACATAGACGCTTCGCAGCGGCAAAACTATGCACATTGGAAGATGAAGAAAATCTTAGTGATCACATGGTAGAAATTGATATTTTATCAGAGATAAAACATCCAAACATTGTAGAATTGTATGAAGCGTTTTCAATTGAGGATAAATTATGGGTGAGTTTGTAGCAGTGAATACATGAACGTACATATGTATGTACATACATAAATTGTAAACACTTATGCAGCATACCTGCATGTCGTCACCAGAAAAGCAAAAATACGCNTTTTCAATTGAGGATAAATTATGGGTGAGTTTGTAGCAGTGAATACATGATACATATGTACATACATAAAATGTAAACACTTATGCAGTATACCTGCATGTCGTCACCTGAAAAGCAAAAATACGTAAAAAATATCAACGTTGAAATGCAAAAAGTCATAACGAATAAAAAATCTAAAATTCAGTTCTTGACTAATATGATGGGTTTCATCGAATTACAACCCCCACATTATTTTATGAAAAAAAATAAAATATTAGTCACGACTTTTTCCATTTCATTTCCGAAGTTACGTTTTTTTTTACATTTCAGGTGGCGATAAGTATATAGTATGTATGTAGCATTTTGCGTTTACTTACGTTTTCGGTGTTTATCGTATTGTATTTGCAAATATTTATTTATTTTCAGATGTTAATTGAGTATTGCGATGGCGGCGCGCTCGACAGTATAATGGTGGAATTAGAAAAGCCGCTGACGGAACCACAAATTGCCTACGTTTGCCGACACATGACTGAAGGTCTGAGTTTTTTACATAAAAATAAAGTAATACATCGTGATTTAAAAGCTGGAAATGTACTACTAACAATGGAGGGTGGTGTTAAATTAGGTTTGTTATTACAAAATAAATTCATTTCCAAACACTTTTTTCTCATCGCTTTCTTTTCACGCTTACAGCTGATTTTGGCGTGTCGGCCAAAAATAAGCATACTCTACAGAAACACGACACATTTATAGGCACACCGTATTGGATGGCACCTGAACTTGTGCTGTGCGAAACATTTCGGGATAATCCTTACGACTTAAAAGTGGATATCTGGTCACTTGGCATAACTTTGATAGAGTTAGCGCAAATGGAACCACCAAATAGTGAAATGTCACCGATGCGTGTTCTACTAAAAATACAAAAAAGTGAACCACCAACACTGGATCAGCCCTCAAAGTGGAGTAAGGAATTCAATGAGTTCCTAAAGAGAGCTTTGGTTAAAGTGAGCGCATACAAACACACACAGAAAATTTCAGCAATGATTTTCATTTTATGCATATGCGTATTGCTTTCCCACTTTACAGGATCCGCAACAACGTCCAGGCACAGATATTTTATTACAACATAGATTCATTAATTGTGAATTAGACGCTAAACCTATAAAAGACTTATTATTAGAATATAAAGCTGAAGTGGTTGAAGAAGTTGTCGACGATGATGCTGAGGTGAGTATTATTTTGAAATGTTTATCTTCAGAGAACTATTGTATTTTAGTACGTACATATGTACAAATGCAAACAAAAAAAACACTTGCTTTCATTATTTGATTATTAATAATTATAACATAATTTCTTACACGCTGCTAATTTCCTCGCGCAATGCGTTTTGTACCATATAAAACTGCACGCTAACATTGAAAAAAAAAAAAAATCAAAAACAAAAACTAAAAAAAAATTGTCTGTGTGCGTTTCGTAAACTTTGTTGTTGCTTTTAGAAGCTTAAACGTCAAGTGAAGAGGCGCTCTCTTTATCAGAGGGTTGGTAAGTTAGTGGTGGACGACTTCTTAACGACCTTGACTGTGTCGGAAATTGTTTGCCACACTACTTTTTTGTATGTTTTTTTTTTTTTTTNTAACGACCTTGACTGTGTCGGAAATTGTTTGCCACACTACTTTTTTGTATTTTTTTTTTTAAATTCAAGCGAATCTATTATCAACGGTAGCATGTTACATACTACATATTTGAAATTGCATTTATTCAACTTGTTAACAATTGTGTTCTTTCGATTCATTTATTGCGAAAACATTCATTTCAAAGCCATGATAACATTTACTTGTTTTTCGAAAATGTACCCGAATGCCTTAGATACCATAATTAGTATTCAGTGGATAGACAACTTATTTGATTTTTTATTTAAAAAAAAAATTATATCGAGCTGAGGCTTTGAAACTTTTTAAAATTTCTAAGTCTTTTCTTGTTTTAAGCAGACTACAAATATTTAAAAAAATTAATCAAAACAGAACTGGATGCCCGAATTTTTATTACCACCCGAAAGAAGATCTGATAATTATTTGTCTAAAAATAATATCATTCAAATGTTGGCCGCATACAGAACAAACCGTAATAACGAGCGCTACCGCACCACGATAATGAAGGTTTTGTTCACTGAAATTGAAGCCCGTGATGGCAACATTTGGCTACAGCAAGTTATCTGTGATATCACACATCAGGATTTTTTTTGGGGTTAATTATGTGAAGTCAAAAGTCTTAGTCGATAAGACGGCTATGATTCCAAGTCTGTAAGCCAACATTACCACCAACGCGTAGTCGCGGACAAAATTTTTTATGAAATTTGTATTAAAATGTAATTGTCACAGATTGCTCTTTCGGGTTATGGATGATAAAGATTCTGGCATCAAGTTCTCCTTTATTTTATATAAAATTAAAAAAAGGTCTGGATGAATCACCCTATACATATATTTTTATATTTAAAGCTTTCAATTGAATTTGCATTTTTAAATGCCCGCTTAAAACTAATTTTTTTAAATTTCGGTTTTCAACTTTCCTCGTTTTTAAATACAATCTATAATAAAATTTAAACCAAAGAAATCGCGGTATTTAGTTTGCACGAAAATTGTTAGACAAAAACTGTATTACAAAATTTCGCGATTTTCTAAGTTGTCATTTGCCCTTCTAGTTTTAAAGCGCACCTCGCTGTTTTTTTTTGTCTAGCTTTTTTTACAAAAAATATGTTACGCTTTATCGCCTTTANAGTTGTCATTTGCCCTTCTAGTTTTAAAGCGCACCTCGCTGTTTTTTTTTTGTCTAGCTTTTTTTACAAAAAATATGTTACGCTTTATCGCCTCGTACAAAAACACACACTTCATTTTTCGTTCATTTCGTTTCATTTTTAATTTGTAGTTTTCGTTGTCGTAGTAGTTGTATTTATTGTGTATGTATATCAGTTGCAAGCAGAAACTAACAACAATTTATTACAATTTTGTTGTTTTTTCTGCATTTATGCTCATTCCATTGTTTTCACAAATATTACATTTTTGTATAATTATATACATCTCATCTCAGGAACCCCGCAACTCGGCGCTCCGGCTCGACCTGGACGATGACTCTGCATCTTTGCAGAGCCAAGATATTGACAAACGTAAGCTCTATTTTCTACATCTAACCGCACACGCCAACTGCGCTAAACGTAGCAAATGATACAATTTCTTCAGTTCCAGGTACCCCAACATCAGTATCTATGGACTCTAAAGAACCAAATCAAACAAATAGTATACCACAAAGTAAACTATCACAACAAAGAGGAGTCGCAAGCAATGTCTCTCCTGTTTTGCAAAACAGTCTTGAAAACAATATATCATCTTCTAAAGGGGCAAAGGAGGATGAACAAAAAATTAGCGTTAATAAAGCGCCAAATGAAAACGACACGAGTAAACCGCGTTCACCTGATGAAGCGCTTAGCAAGCAGCAAACAGTTGTTGCTCCATCTGCTATTGAAGCTGATAATCTTCCTGAGAAAAGCGTTGACGCTGATAGGAAGGTGAGTAACAACTTCTTTTTAATGAACACATATCTCGCACCACTATATTTGCCAAACTCTTTCTCAATTTTTTACCCGCAGATCCCTAAAAAAGAAAAGGGTAAGGCACCGCCACCTCCGTCTGCTGCTATAATTGCGCCAAAAACGTCTGAAGCACCGCCTGCAATTATTGCAGCACACACTGAACCGGAGAAACGGGCCAACGACGAACACATCCGCACAGCTGCAGTGGTCAAAGGTGCCGAGCTGTGTGAGAATGTGGAAATCGATGTGCAAGCGCCAGCACTGCAACAGTTCGTTAATGAACCACAAGAGCAGGTGCAGCCACTGCCATCTCCGCCTTCGCCAACTACATCATCAGCAGCGGTTTCGGTGAATTCCACTTCATCGTCTGTAAAAAGCGGCGCCATGCTAAGCTCGAGCACTTCACTTATCACTATAAATAGCGAGACCTCGCCATCCAGCACGCCAACTCGTTCACTTAACAATCAGGCACAGCATCGGAATGTCGTTCAACCCAACAGTTTGGACGCTGGTATCAGCCAAATAAGAGTTGTAACCAGCACGCATCCACCAGTCATCATTGACAATTCTGTAGTGCCCGCTGTACCGCCTCAAAGCGAAGTGATAATTGTTTCAAATGATTTAAACAAAAGCACACATGTGCCAGAATCTTCGACTGATGATGATTTCACTTCCTTTGACGACAGTCTTGGCGATTCGCCGATATCGCCACGACAGTCATCCATGATAGTGGCCGTGAGTGAGAAGGGCGCCGAAGAAACGGACAAGGGTGAAATTGCTGCCGACGCCAATCAGTCTATAATCGGTAAAGGATCACGGGCGCGTAAGCTTGACGAAAGCGAGGTGCTAATCGTTAGCCCATCTTTCGTAGATGACGATTCTGCCTATAATACAGCTACGGGCAGTCATGATCATAGCGAACATCTGATGGATACCAGTCATGTGTCAGTTGTGACTGTAGGCGATGAGATAAAAGTTAAGGACAGTAGTCACCTGAGCAGCGATCTATACGATACAAGATTAAGCAACGACAACAATATTCTGAATAGCCAACGACCATATGTAAAGAATCACCAAAATGGCCAAATAATCACCGGCACACCAACAGAAGATGTAAATATTATTATAAACCGCAACACACCACAAGACATCAGTGTCGCTAATAAACGGCCCTCACCAGATAATAGCGTTGGTTCAGTGGACTCACGAACACTGAGTGAAAGCGGTTCACTGCCCTCAACTGGCGGTGTTATTCGACGAGCTGTGGGCTTGAATATCGCAACAGTTGATCAGAGTGACGTTGAAAGTATCGGCACCACAACTAGTCATGATAGTCGCAACGAGGCGGAGGCCCCCATAATGGGCACTAAGATACCCGAAGATGAAGAAGTTGTCATACGTCGTAAGCAAGGACCATTATCACCGAAAATAGTAGCACCACCCGGTCCGACTAAAGAAGAAATTGAACTACGTAATTTGCGTAAGAAAACGCGAAAGCGTACGCGAAAATTCGAGATCGATGGTGTACAAGTGACGACAACCACAAGTCGTGTCATCTACGGTGACGAAGAGACTGGACGGCTCTATGATGATCATGTGTTCCGCAAACAAGAACTAAGAGAATTGAAAATGTTGCAGAAACAGGAAAAGAAGCAGCAAAACGATTTGCAATTAAAGGAACAAATCGCTAGAGAGCAACAGGATCGACGCTTCGAACAGGAGCGAATTTCGCTGGAGAAGACTTATGAAGCCGATATGGACACCTTGGCAAGACAACAGAAGCAACTAATTGAGAAGACAGAACAAGCGCAGGAGCATGAAGTAAGTATGATTGTTGTAGAAAAAAATTGCACTCATACGTATATATAGAAAGCATCTTGGAGGCCATCGTTGACTTGCCGACGTGTGTCAAGTTAGCACTACACTTTTCGAAATTGGAAAAGTTAACTACGGCATTAATTGTAGTGTTTTTGTTGTAAATTTGTTGTGGAAAGAAAAAATTTGTAGCTCTCGTTTTTTAAGAAAAAATGGTATGTAGTGCTAACTTGACACCATACACCTAGTCGATAGAATTGAGATATACATACCATTTTTTCTTAAAAAACGAGAGCTACAAATTTTTTCTTTC